AGCGAACACCTCTAGAAAACCAAAAGCTTGGTCACCGCGAGCCCTGGTCAGGGCTTAGTGAGTCCACCCGGCACCTCTGCCAGGACTGAGTGGTCCAGGCCATCATATCACACATATACATACCACACATGCCATACACATGCACATATACACACATACCCCACACACATGCCACACCACACCACACACCATGCACACATAACATACACACACCACACACACACACAAACACACACACAGACAACCACCCACAGGCAATGACACACCACACACACCACATACACACATACCCCACACACATGCCACACCACACCACACACCACGTGCACACACACGCACATATTCTTACACACACACACACACACACACACACACACACGCACCACCAGAGCAGCTTGCTGGGTGGCCAGTGGGGTGAGCAGATGGCAGACAGCTGTCTCTTTTCCCCCAGTGCCTGTCCCCAAGGCCGGCCACTGCCCCCGGGTGCAGGCCCTGCAGACACTGCAGCCCTGCATGGAGAGCAGCGAGTGCTCCAGAGACAAGCACTGCACTGGCAACAAGAAGTGCTGCTTCAGCCGGTGTGCCATGAAGTGCATGGAGCCTGTGGAAGGTACGAGTCACCCCTTCCGTGCCCTGCCCCCCCCCCACGGAGCCTGGGGCTGCTCCCCAGACACGGCCTTAGCAGCCCTGGGGCACTTGACACGTGAGCACCAACTGAGCACTTCCATGTCAGCAAGGACACCAGGAGCATCTGCATGGAGACTCGGCTCCACATATGCTTCCCATCACAGACTTAGGGGCAGCCCATTCCCCAGCCCTGGAGACACCCATGACAGCCCCTCCCCACTGATATTGCCTCCCAGAGGGAGGAGTGGGGACACTCTCACCCACCCTTGGATGACTACCTTGTCCCCCCCCCAGACTCCGCCACGCAGGAGCTCCCCAAAGCCCTTAAGACCTCCATGCCCACTGCCATGGCGCCTCTTCAGTAAGAGACTGTCCCCATGGGATGCCCTTGCCGGGAGAGACCAGCTCCAGCATACTCAGAAGAACCTCTTCTCTCGGATTCAGCACGGGCGAAGACGATGCCTGCTACTAATAAAACCAAGTCGGGTTTATGCTCACGTCTGTCTGTCTGTCTGTCTGTCCTGGCCAATTCTGTGGGGTGAGACAGTGGGTTCAGGGAGCCAGGGATTGAGCGTGAGGGAGACAAGAGGCCAGCGGCATCTGGTCCCCTCTCACAGAGGCGTTGCTGGGATGGGGGTAGCAGGAGCAGAGCTCATAGCAAAGGCTAACGAGGGCACCACGGTCTCTTCCCACTGCTGTGTGGCAGTTTGGAGACGTGCAAGGACACAGCAATGACAGAGCACTAAGTGCTGACACTCCTCACAGCCACCTTCTCCTTCTGCAGCTCCATGCTGGCCAAGCATGTGCGTCCACTCCCATGGCCACTGGCATTCCTACAGCCACTTCCCTGACTGCTCCCGATCTTGTGTCCACACTGCACACACGGGGAGAGGGCACTCACACACACACAGCTGTAGCCATGAGCTCTGGGCTCTGCCTGCGCTTCTGACCTGCCTATAAACATGGACTTCCCATCACTCCCCGCACACGATTCACTGAAACCGTCCATGAAACCCCCAGAGCGCTCTGCCTATGTGTGTTAGCAAAGGGATGCCAGTGAGACCCATGTGGGGGAGCACAGGAGTGCAGGACCCCCAGACCTGCCTACACTGAGCGAGTTTCCACCGCAACTCACATGATTAATTCCTTACTCTGGTCCCCCTCGCCCTCCAAAGTCACTCACCAACATGAACTCAGACACCGGAAAGGGGCCTGTCACCGTCAGTCAAAGCTCTTCAATGGCTCAGAAAGTGCAAGAGTTGGAGGTTCTGTGCAGGATTAGGGAAAGAACGTGGCGCCTTGCAGTCCACATGGGATGGGGGCACTAGGCTGCACTCTGAGCGGGCCGTGAGGTCCCTCTGAGGTGGAACTCGGAGCTTCCCCAGTTGTGTTTGACCTGGACGAGACCCTGCATGGAGAAAGGGGCTGGATCTGGACCAGCTGACTCTGGGGGCCAGCAGTAGGTCTGAGGGGACCCTGCGGAGCAGGTTCTGTGCAGCAGGAGTCAGAAGTTGCGGGCAGAGGAGAAGGCAAAGCAGTGGGAGGCTCAGGAGAAAGGAAGAAGGCCACAAAGGCAAGAGCCATGGACTCCATCTGCCCCATGTTGCTACGCCCCTGGGGTCCCGAAGAAGGCTTAGTTCTCAAAGCGACAGGAGCACCAGAAGGTTTGAATTAACCTAACAAGGAGGTGTGACTCTGGGTGTTCTCTAAAGCCATAAACTCTTGAACTATGGGATCTCCACTCACTCTTTCTCCTGCCTACAAAAAGCTCCAACTGGAAAGTTGCATTTCAATTTAAATTCCCTCACTTTGGTCAAAATTCCCCATCACTATGGGTCAACAGTGGCCAGGCTACTATGGGAAGGAAAATAAAGTGCTTCTTTTTTTTTTTTTTTTGCTTTTTGGGTCATACCCAGTGATGCTCAGGGGCTACTCCTGGCTTAGCTCTGGACCCAGGAATCACTCCTGGCGGTGCTCAGGGAACCATATGGGATCCGAAAAATCAAATACAGGTCAGTCACATATAAGATAAATGTCCAACCCACTGTACAACAGACCCCTAGGTACTTCTTGTTAAGGGGTGTGGATTAAATATTTCCCATTGCGGAGCCAGAAAGATAGCACAGCAGGAATGGTACTTGCCTTGCATGTGTACAACTTGGGTTCAATCTCTGGCATCCCATATGGTCCTCCAAGCATCACCAGGAGTGATCTCTGACCACAGGGCCAGGGGTAAGTCTGAGTACCACTGCATGTAGCCCAAAAGCAAACTTTCCCCAATGCTTCAAATGCATTCCAGAGGGGAACCCCTGGGAGCAGAGGGCTTAATGTCCATCTGGAAGAGAGAACACTGCTCAGGCCCCCTCCCTACAGTTTTGAGACCTACAAAATATCACTCACCACTCACCCTAAGACTTCCTGGTTTAGCACATATTGCTGTGTACTCCAGATTCATCAACATCTCTAAGACTTTACCAAATGATAATGACTATGATCCACCAAAAAAAATGTCAACAGCATGAGACTGCAACCCTCCCCCCGCCCCCCGAGAATATAGACAGAAGAGCTTTCCTTTGAAAGCCCTGTACCACCTTGTAGAGGAGTGAAAGAAGACCCCATGTGACATGTGACAGGGAGAAGCCACTTTTCCAAAGGAAGAGTGAGCTTATAAAAGTACAAGAAATCATACAGGGATGCAGCATTACCTGGAAGAAAGAATCAGGAAAGCCAAAAATGACAGAGAGATGCTTCTGGGAGACAGAAGGCAAGATGGGAAAGGAGCTGACGCACCAAAGGAGGTCTGGAATACCTGGATTTGTTTTCCCACGTAGACTGCAGGAGGCAAACATGCCCAGCAAGAGGAAATTGTAGCGGTTACAGAGATGGAGGAGGTGAACAAGGAGACATAGGGCCCAGAATAAGTCTGGAAAGATGACATTCAGGTGAAATAAGCAGGGGATTCGAGGTGCACAAAACAGGTGAAAGACATCTTCTTGTGACACCAGCTGAGTCTCTCTGCCATGAATATGTTACCAGAAAAGGGGCATAAATCAAGAAATAGTACATAGTACAAAGGGTAAGGGAACATAGATGAGAAATAAAAGAAACACAGCAGTAAAGGGAGATTCCAAGATGACACTTTTGTCCAATGTACAGCCAGGGATAAGCCACCCTGGAGGTCAGAAGGCTTAGGAGAGACTCTCAGTAAGCTTAGCTGATGCCCTGTCTCATATGTGCAAACACATTGGTAGACTTAGACAACTAGAGAGGATTTGAAGCAAATTCATGATAAGTACAAGAAATCTTTAATTCTTTCTTGGTGGTGGTGGTGGTGGGGTGCTCACATCCTGAGGTGATCAGCGTTCAGGGGCTACTCCTGGTTCTGTGCCTGGGGGCTGTTCCCAGATGATGTGCTGGGGACCATTTGGTTTCAGGAATAAAATTCAGCCTCCCATGAACAAAGCATGTGCATACACCCATTGAGTGAAATATCTTAAGCTTTAGAAGGCAATTATTAATTCCATGGAAATAAAAACGTTGTACCGTAAGGAACATTAATCAGAGGTTTTGTTTGAAGTGTTTTACTCTGCACCTGGGTTATTTTTTTTTTCTTTTTGGGTCACACCTGGCGATGCACAGTGGTTACTCCTGGCGGTGCTCAGGGGACCACATGGGATGCTGGGAATCGAACCCCAGCTGTGTGCAAGGCAAACACCCTACCTGCTGTGCTATCTCTCTAGCCCCTGTACCTGGGTTATTTTATACTCAAATGACAATTCTTAGGAAATCCTCCTCCTCCTCCTCCTCCTCCTCCCCTGCCCCTCCTCCTTCTTCCTCCTCCTCCTCCTCCTCCTCCTTCTCCTCCTCCTCCCTCCTCCTCCTCCTTTTTCTTCTCCTCCTCCCTCTCCTCCTCCTTCTCCCTCCTCCTCCTCCTTCTCCCCTCCTCCTCCTTCTTCCTCCTTCTCCTCCTTCTCCCTCCTCCTCCTCCTTTTTCTTCTCCTCCTCCTCCTTCTCCCCTCCTCCCTCCTCCTCCTCCTTCTCCCCTCCTCCTTCCTCCTCCTCCTTCTCCTCCTCCTCCTTTTTCTTCTCCTCCTCCTCCTTCTCCTCCTCCTTCTCCCTCCTCCTCCTCTTCCTCCTCCACCTCCTCCTCCCTGAACTGCCGCTTCCCCGCCGCCCATCCACTTCCTAGTAGGTCACTAGTGCCCTCAACAAAAATGAAGGGGAGCGACCGTCACTTCCGGCCTGGCGCCCTCACCAATGATGGCGTCCTGGGCAGCCAGGGGCGGGGATTTCCGGCCGGCTCCTGCCCCGCTTCCGGCGTCGCTCCAAGTGACGTCAGGAGCGCGCCGCGCCGCGTGGGCCGGGACGGCGCGGGGGCACATGGAGGTCAGCGGCCGTGACAGCGGCCGCGGGGCCCCGTAGTCGCCGCCGCGGGACGAGGAGCAGCTCGGCGTGGGCCTCGCGGGCACCGAGCCGGGAGGGGCGCGCGGCCGAGCCGCCGTGCAGGTGGGTCCGTCTGGCGCCGCACTTCCGGCCGCCGGAGCCCCGCGGAGCTGTCCGAGGGCCGGGCCCCGCCGGAGCTGTCCAGGGCCGGGCCGAGCCCGCCCCCGCGACCCGAGCCCTGGGCTGTGCTCGTCCCCACGGCCGGGGACCTGCTCCGGCCGGGCCGGGCCCCGCAGAGCCAACCTCGGCCCGCCCAGCGTCGCGCCCTGCCCGCGCCCCGCGGGGAGCCAGGCCCGGGCCGCCGTCACTGCGGCGCGGCGCGTGTTCGAGGGGTGGAGCTGCCCGTGCCCAGCGGCCGGGCCAGCGCGAGGAGGGAGGTTGGGGGCTGCCTTGGAACCTGGCTAGTGACCGGTCCAGGTCGCTTAGAGTCGGTGATGTGACCGGGCTTGGTGTTAAAGCCCGTTCCCGTAAGTTGCGGAGTCGGAATTCAGTGCACCAGGAACAATCTCCTTTTAAAGATTCGAGTCGGTGGTCTGTATGCCAGCTGGGGTGGGGGTCAGAATCGGGTCGCGTTCAGGGGTTCACCCGTGCAAGGCTGCACCCCTGAGGCCCATGCTTAGACCTAGCCAGTCATTTCATTTGGGGGTGGAAGGAAGGGGGGGAAGGTCTTGCCTGGCAGTGCCCGGGAACACTTGGCTCTGTGTTTGGGGGTGTCGCCCAGCAGTCTTGGGGGACTGTACAGAGCTGCAGCATGCAAAGCATGTGCCCCAGTCCTGTGAACTAGCCCTTTGCTCCCTCTTAAACTCAGATTAAGATTTTGGGGCCCAAGCAGTAGTACAGCAGGTAAGGCACTTACCTTGCACGTTGCCGACCCGGGTTCGATACCTGACATCCTACATGGTCCCCTGAGTCCAAGTAGGTGTGATTCCTGAGGAGTGTAGAGCCAGCAGTAACCCCTGAGCACTGCTGGGCCAAAACAAAACAGAGCCAAAGCGATTGTACAGTGGGAAGGGCTTCTGACTTGTCTGCGGCCAACCCAGCTTCGAGCCCCGGCATCCCACATTGCCCCCTGAGCACCGGCAGGAACAATTCCTGAGTGCCGAGCCAGGAGTAACCCCTGAGCATTGCCAGGTGTGACCCAAAAAAGCAAACATAGAAGAACGCAGATTGCATGTGTGCAGGTTATTAGCCTGGAGAGGTGGGGCATGGTTTTGGAAGTGATGCTGTGATTCCATTTCATTCCATTTCCTTAGGTTGGAGCGTCAGGAACTGCCCCTTGCACTGTCCCCTTCTCTTTCTCGCCAGGGCTTTTGAATCACTCGTGGGAGATTGGCTTCCCTGCCACCCGGAACTGTCATGGCAGCACAGCTGATGAAGCGATGCTCGTGTCTCCTGAGAGAAGTCTGCCGTCTAGCACCAGTCGTCTCTCCCGCCGGCCCGCTGAGACTAGTCGGGGTGGCCCATAAAACCCTTGCTTCCTCGGCCACGACAGCCACTTCCAACTTCCCAGGACCCTTGTCAGAACTTGTGGAGAGGGAGCAAGTGTTTACTCCGTATCCGGAGCGTCAGGAGGTGGACCAGCTCATTGAGAAGGCCACTCGGCCGGAGGACATTCTGGCCCTGCTGGGTGCCGGCCACTGCCTGCACCAGAACCATGCAGCCCTCATGCTCATCCAGATCTCGCGCTTGCTGTCCGAGAAGCCAGAGGACAAAGCCGTGCTCATACAGGACGCCCGCTTTCAGCAGCTGCTCCAGCTCGCCAACAGCCAGGTGGGCGCATGCTGGAGTCAGGAGGGCCTAGAAGGGAGACCTAGCCAGGGAGACCTAGAAGGATCTCTGGGACTGGGGGTGGGTAGGGCAGGTTCAGAACTTGGAACAGAAGGATCCCCTTCACGGGGTCCAAGGCACACTGGGGTCTTGAACGCTGCTCTGCCATGAAGACCCTCCCCCCTCCCCCGCCCCGACACTGGGGAAGCCAGGCTTGGCCCCTGTCAAGGAGGAGGAAAGGGTCCTAATCTCAGCCACGGGTGCATTCCATGAGTGCCTTAAAATTGCAGCATGGGGGCTGGAGCAATAGCACAGTGGGTAGGGTGTTGCACACAGCCAACCCGGGTTCGATTCCCAGCATCCCATATGGTCCCCTGAGCATCGCCGGGAGTGACCCAAAAAGTAAAAAAAAGAATTGCAGCGTGAGTGCATTGTTTCCCTGAGATCGTGTAATACACAGAAAGCACTAAATTCACAGGCAGGAAGGGCAGTGTTACCATGGAACTTTTGTTAAGCATGTGACCGTCAGGTCACCGGACAGTTGTCTTTGTGGACGTATAGCTTGAAAAGATAGCCCTGCTTTGGTCTCTTTGTCCTAAGGCCACTTTGCTGGTTGTTTGTGAAATATTCTGTACCTACAGTGGAAGCAAGTTTCCTAATCCAGTATTAAAGGAGAAATCAGTAGCACTGTCCTTGTTCATCAATTTGCTCAAATGGACCCAGTAATGTCTCCATTGTGAGACTTGTTGTTACTGTGTTTGGCATATCAAGTACGTCACAGGTAGCTTGGGTTGGAGTGATAGCACAGCGGTAGGGCGTTTTCCTTGCACGCAGCCAGCCCGGCAGACCCGGGTTCAATTCTTCCACCCCTCTCAGAGAGCCTCGCAAGCTACCGAGAGTATCTCGCCCACACAGCAAAGTCTGGCAAGCTACATGGTAGTAAAACATTTACAATATAAAGAGCAATCACGCTTTCTGAGTCTTCTTGGCAGGAGGGAGAGTTCAGAGGGGTGAACATATGCTTTGCGGAGGGGGCAAGGGGGAAGGCTTGGTCCCTGGCAACACGTGGTCCCCAGGTTCTGGCAGGAGCAAGCACATCACCAGCAGAAGCCCTGAGCACTCACTAAACAGTTCACAAGACCCAGAGTCGCTGGAGGGATGGTACAGTGGGTGGGCCGCTTAACCTGCAGGCAGCCGACCTGGGTTTGATCCCCGGAGCCCTGCTAGAAGTGATCTCTTAGTTCTACAGGGGTGGCACAGAAAGCTGACCCAGAACTCAGGACGCACCATGAGGGTGGGGTCTGGGTGAGGAGCTGCTAACGGAGTGGTGACCGGTGGCCAGAGAATAGCGCTGGGGCACTGCAGGGCTGCCCCTAATTGGAGACCAGAGCCTGGCCGGGGCTTTCCTAGGGTCGAGCTCAGGGTTGGTTTCAGCTGCCAGGTGCAGGTTCCACTGCTGAGAACGAGCAGGTGTGGAGTGGGGTGGTGACCCCGCGGGTGTCTGGCACCTCACAGGAGCTGTTGGTGCCAGCAGGGAGCCAGCCTCTCGTTCCCCAGGTGTTAGGGTGACTCGGGCCTGTTGACAGCACGATGTCCTTTAACCCCTGTATCATGGGCATTCCTCCCCCCTCCCCCCCAACATGCATTGCCGTCCCGTGCCCAGGCACGGTCGTGCTTATGTGCGTGGCTGTGAAGCCTCACGTTTCCACACTGCTGGTGGACACAGGACTGGAGCAGATGTGGCTTTACTGTCTCTTCCTGGAAAGAAAGATTTCAGTGACTGAACGTTGTCAATGATGCGAGCAGAGGTGACGCTGATTGATGAAACTGGCCTGAAAAGCTTAATTGGCAAGTGACTGACCTAGGCTTGATCCCCAGCGCCACATAGGGTTCCCCCAAGTGCTGACAACTGTCACCGAGACGATTAGCACAGCACAGCTGCATGGGTGCCACCCCCCAAATGCCACAGGTGGCAGAAGTGGAGAGACTGTGCAGAAGTCCGGGCACGTGCTTGGCATACAGGAGGTCTGGGTCTGTTTCCTGGTGCCCCCTTCCCGCACCCCAACCAAAGCCTAACTGGTCCTTGACTCTGGTCACTCTTTGGTCTTGACTTGGTGTTGTGTCCGGTGGCGCAGGTCAGAAACCTGAGTGCTTGCAGCCGCTGTAGCCCAGCTGGTGCTGAGGACTCAAGAATGCCACTCAGTTCTTGCTTGCAGGTAGCAGCGAAGAACTCGGGCTTACTGAAACAAGCGCCCAGAAAACAGGCTGGGACGGAGGCGGGGAGAAGAGCTCCAACGCATGGCCCCTTAGAAAGTTCTAGCCTGGGGGCTGGAGCAATAGCACAGCGGGTAGGGCGTTTGCCTTGCATGCAGCCGACCCGGGTTCGATTCCCAGCATCCCATATGGTCCCCTGAGCACCGCCGGGGGGTAATTCCTGAGTGCAGAGCCAGGAGGAACCCCTGTGCGTCGCCGGGTGTGACCCAAAAAAGCCAAAAGAAAGTTGTAGCCTTCGAGTGGCGGGAGCTGGCCCTGGCTTCTCCAGCAGCACCCGGGTGACCCCCTCTCCCTTCAGGTCACCGCCGTCTGGCACGGAACCCTGGTGAAGCTGCTCCGCAGCCTCTACACGCTGCCGCTGCCCGCGGCCTCCCGGGAGCTGCGCTCGGTGGAGCAGGAGGTGCGCTGGCGCCTGCGCAGGCTGAAGTACAAGCACCTGGCCTTCCTGGCCGAGTCCAGTGCCGGCCACATGCAGGGCAGGGACTCCCAGGAGCTGCTCACCGAGCTGCTTGTGCACCTGGAGCGGCGCTGGGCGGAGATCGAGGACGGGCGCACGCTGGTCGCCATCATGATGAAGACGGGGCACCTGTCGGAGTCGCTGATGACCCGCCTGGAGGACAAGGTAGTGACAGGGCTGCCCTCCGCCCATGCCCTGGCTCAGGCTCTGGCCTGGGTGTGCCCCTGGGGAGGAGGTGGCGTGGGCGTCCTGGGCCGTGGTCCCCACACTCGGTGGCCACGTGGGGACAGCTGTGCCTGGGCTCCCTGAGGCGAGTGCGGGAGGGCGGCACTCGCTTTGCTCACACAGCCTTGGAGTGGTGGACAGGCCCCACGCCCACTTCTCTCCGGTGCTTTCCTGAGAGATGCTGCGTGGCCCTCGGGCCATTGGTGCCACCCTCGCACGATGGCCTGTGCTCGGGACCCGGGCCCTCCTCTGCCTGGGGGTGTTGGCTGTGGGGCTCTGGATCCAGGCCCAGGGTGGGGGTGGGTGGGGCAGGCCCTGCAGACGGACCTGGGCCCAGGGAGCTCAGGCCCAGTTGCTGTCTCGCAGGGGCCGCACTGCAGGGACCCCCGGGCCCTGGGCCACCGGCTGATAGCTGCCGGCTGTGGTTGACAGTGCCTGGAACTGGTGGAGCAGTTTGGCCCCGAAGAGCTGCGGAAGGTGCTTGTGACACTGGCCACTCAGAACCGGCGCTCGGTCCCCTTGCTGCGGGCCATCTCTTACCACCTGGTCCAGAAGCCCTTCACCCTCTCTAAGAGCGTTCTCCTGGACCTGGCCTACGCCTACGGTGAGCCCAGGGAGCCGGCCCCAAGGGCTGCCGCGGCAGCAATGACCCACGGGCCTGGGCCTGGGGGATGAGTGTGGTCACAGACACCGAGAGGCCAGGGTGAACCACCAGGGGACCTCTGACCCTCACCAGAGCACCCTCGCCCCCTCTCCCAAAGGCAAACTCGGCTTCCACCAGACTCAGGTGTTCCAGCGCCTGGCTGCCGACCTGCTTCCCTGCGTGCCCAGCCTCACAACCAGCGAGGTGGCCCGTTGCGCCAAGTCCTTTGCCTTCCTCAAGTGGCTCAACCTGCCCCTGTTTGAGGCCTTCACGCAGGTGAGCCCGGGACGGGGTGGGGGCCTGCGCTCCGCTCTCACCGCCCGGGGGGAAGCTGCCGGCGAACAGCCCGGGGTTCCCTGCGGCCCTCACCCTCCTGCCTCACCTGCCCCCAGCACCTGCTCAGCAGAGCCCAGGACGTCTCTGTGCCTCACCTGTGCAACGTGTTGTTGGCCTTTGCCCGTCTCAACTTCCACCCGGAGCAGGGGGACAAGTTCTTCAGCCTGGTAGGGAGGGGCAGCCCTGGCCCCTGGGCTCCTCTCCTGCTGCCGTCACTGCCTCCATGGGCTCCCCAGAGGTCCAGTGGGCGGGCAGCCGCTCTGCACGTGCCCTCACATGACCGCGTCCTCTGCTTCAGGGCTTGCTGCTCGGTTTCCTCTGGCCATGAATAGGAGCGGGTGGGCCGAGTGGGACCTGGTGCCACGCGCCTCCTTTTGCTGCCCACGTTGCCCCGAGGTGGGGGGTTCTGGAACCTTCCGTCGGGAGACTTCATAGCTGCCGGCTCCGAGCAGACCCTGTTTCCTCCACCCTGCTCAGGTCCATGAGAAGTTGGGGCCGGAGCTGGCCGAGCTGGACGCAGCCCTGCAGGTGGACGTGGTGTGGGCACTGTGTGTGCTGCAGCAGGCGCGGGCCGCGGAGCTGCAGCAGGTGCTCCGGCCAGAGCTGCACAGCCGGTTTCTAGGTGAGCCCGGGCCACGGCTCCTGCCCGATGCCTCGGCCCCGCAGTCCAGTCGGGACATGGTGCACTGACAGCCACTGGCCGTCAGGGGGCCTGGGGGGGCGGGCTGGCTGGCCTGGAACCCCAGTGCACCTCTGTCCCTCATCTCCCCAGGGGCCCGGTCACCGAAGGACCAGAGCACCTTCCAGAAGCTGCTGCACATCAACGCCACTGCCCAGCTGGAGCTGCCCGAGTACACAGGCCCCCGGCTGCCCGCCTCAGCCCTGCTGCCCCCGCCCTCGGCCCCCGAGCCAAAGATGACCCCTTTGCAGAAGGAGCTGCAGGAGACCCTCAGGGGGCTGCTGGGGGCCTCCGATCGGGGCAGCTTTACGGTGCCCACGCAGTACGGCTGGGTCCTGGGTAAGGACGCCCTTCCCCACTTGCCTTCCGCTCCAAGCGCCCAGTGCCGACCCACGTCTGCCGTGACTGTCCATTCCTGGGGGGGTCTCTGCCATCTGTCCCCTGGGGCTTCCTGTCTCCCTTGGCTTCTGCAGTGGGGGGATCTCCCAGAGCTGCCCCCCCCTCACACCCTCTCCAGATGCTGAGGCGCTTCTGGACTCCGAGGGTCACTTCCTGGCCCTGAGGGATTTCGTGGCCCCGCACCTCGCCCAGCCTGCTGGAAGCCAGCCACTGCCCTCTGGGGCCAAGAGGTAGGCGGGAGCGGTTCCCGGGGCTGCACTCCGGCTCTTCAGGCTGGAAGAGCAGCCAGCACACAGCACCCTTGTCCCCATCCAGGCTGGCCTTCCTGCGCTGGGAGTTCCCCAACTTCAACAGCCGCAGCAAAGACCTGCTGGGGCGCTTCGTGCTGGCCCGGCGCCACGTGCTGGCCGCAGGCTTCCTAGTGGTCGATGTAAGTCCAGGGACAGTCCTGTGCGCTGTGGTCAGTGTGAGTCGGTCACCCCTGTGTGTTGGGCCCTCCGCCTGCTCAGGGCGCCCCCATGTAGCCTGCCTGCAGCTCTGCTAAGGTCTGTCCCCAGGAGCCTGAGCCCTGCTCCCTGCCGCCCCGTGTGCCTGAGTAGAGGCTCCTCGCGGTCTCGGTCCTGCCCTCAGCCTCCCTGCACAGCACAGCCAGAGCCAGTGTCCCTCCCGTCTGACCCACTGTCCCCTCCCGCAGGTCCCCTTCTACGAGTGGCTGGAACTGAAGTCGGAATGGCAGAAAGGCGCCTACCTCAAGGACAAGATTCGCAAAGCTGTGGCCGAGGACCTGGCCAAGTGACCTGCCCTGTGGAGGCCCTGGCAGGCATGAGGGCCTCTGAGGACGAGCCGGGGTACAGGACCTTGGTGGGTGCACGGCTGCCGTCCCAGGCCCTCTTGGGGGTATTAAATCTGTCGTTTTGGGTTTCGACACCAGGAGGCTGCCCCCGGCTCTGTCACCACCTCACCGTCAGCTCGTCAGCTCTGGCATACAGGGTCTAGGGGCCGGTGCCTCTGGAAGCCAAGGGTCGCCAGCGTGTCCCTTCCGGCCCCCCATCTGCCCCCGCGCTCTGTTGCCACGGGGGGGGGGGGGCTCTGTTCTTGTGGCAGTGGCCCCCACACCTGGCCTGGTGCTCGCAGCGCCACTGCCCTCCCCATCCTGGCCTTGGGGAGTGGCGTGGGCGAGGGGGCTGGGCTTGTAAGACCAGGAGCTGCCCGCGACCCTGCTGCCCACAGGGGCCTAGCCTGCCAGAGTCCTGCTCTGCCGCAGCATCGCCCTCTCAGGTCTCCCACAGAGACCACCCAGGAGAAGGGTTGAGTCAAGAGGAGATGGGCGACTCTCAGCCCCCATACTGGACATGTCCAGTCACAGTGGCTCGAGGCTGGAGAGTTGCAAAGAGCCAGGTGGCTGGCACACACTGGTCTTTACCTTGGGGCGGGGGGCTGTCCAGGTTCCCCAGCTGCTGAGGCTCCTGCCCGGGTGGCTCCCACAGGGGCAACTGGCCCGGGCAGCTGGGCCAGGGCGCACGCTTGGATGCCACGGAGGAAGCGCAGATGCTCTTCTGCTCAGACTTTGGTTTTTGTTCTGACTTGAATGAGGTAATGTTGCTTTAATACTTTGGTTTGGTTTGGGGGACACACCCAGCGATGGCTCGGGGCCCCTCTGAGCAGGCCTGGGGCTCGAACCCAGGTCAGCAGGTGCAAAGGCGGTGCTTTCCCACTGCAGCTCTCTGGCCCCCAAGTGCTGTCGGAGGAGTGTGCTTTGTACTCCAAGTGGCCTGAGAGATGCCAAGAATGAAACCAGTGTCCCCCCACTTGCCGCCCCCAGGGTCCAGGGCCCTGCACAGCCGTGCAAAACTCTCCACCTTTCATCCCCCTTACAGCTCTCGGGGACTTCAGGTCTGGGCCTGTGCCTCGCCGCCCACTTGCCCATCTGCGGTGTCTCCTAGACTGCAGGGGGCAGTGTTCCTTCAGATTGTGGAAGCTGAGGGTCAGGACATGCCACAGCACCAGGCCCCTCACGCTGCCCTTCAGGGCCAGTGGCCACCTGCAGCCTGGAGGTATCCCTGAGCAGGTCTGTAAGGACAGGCGCTCTTCGCCCGTGACCCTACACCCAGGTCGCTGCCCTTGTTGCCATCACATGGGTGATTCAGCCCCAAGTGGGGTGCTTGTGTGGCCCTAACTCCATTCTCTACTATAATACAGAGCTGCAGCCGCTGGCTTGTGTGGAATTTACGTGTTTCTATTTTGGTTTGGGCCTTGGTTTGGTTGACCTTTGGGTCACACCCAGTGGTGCGCAGGGCCCACTAGCAGCCTGCCAATAGCCCTGGTGGGCTCGGGGCAGCCTATGGGAGGGCAGGGGTGAACCCGGATCAGCCCAGTGCAAGGCCAACACCTCCCACTGTACTCTGGCTCCAGCCCATGGAGTGTGTTTCTGAACAGATCACCGAACTTCCAGAGTCCTCCCCTTGGCCGTTTGCACTGGTGCTATGCATCCATGCTTCCTGAAGGCTAGTGGTGTTGAACATCCCTAACGGGTCCTTTCACTGTGGCATTCGCCCACATCCTAATTGTACTTTTTTTCTGAGCTCCGAGAGTCTATCTGAAGGACAGTTTATCGGGCCTGCCTTTATCGGATGTGCTTGTTCTGTGCGATCCACGTGAGGATCTGCTCTAATAAGGGAACTGGTTTCTGTGCAGCTTGGAGCGGGTGTCGTCACTCGTTCCGTCTGCTGAAAAGGCTGTGCTTTCCCGTCACACATTTTTGGTCTGTAAAATGTCAGAGACCCAGTTCGGGGTCCTGCTGCTGGTCTTGTGGACTGCCCTTCCGCCATTACAGTCACAGTTACAGTCGCTATAAAGCTGGCCTTAATGTTAGGAGATTGAGTCCATTTTTTTCAGAATTGTTTTGATTATTCTTACTCCGTTGCTTTAATGTGATCGTATCTGCAGAAGTACTGAGAGTTTAGAGGACCTTAAGAAGACTTAATAGAATCTACTATGTAATAGAGCCAGTTTGAGAAGAATCAAGGCCTTCACTGTGGGGTCTTCTGGTCTGTGAATAGTTGCACAGGGTTTCGTACATTTGTTTGTGGTTTCTTGGTTAAGTACCCTTGGATTTTCCATGTAGTTTTTGTTTCTTCATTTCTAATCTCTATCTTTCTGTTGCCTTTAAGACTTACGGTATAAATCTTGTCCTGGAAGTACAGAAGGCACTGGCACTTGCCAGGTGCACAGCCAACCCTAGTTCTATCCCCAGCACCACACGTGGTACCACAGTCCCACCCAGCACACTAGGAATGACCCATGAGGACTGCTTGGTGTGGTACCAAATAATCACACCCTCTATTCCCAAAAATATGTGTCTGTCACTGCGGTTGATTTATGACCTCAAAGAAACAGCATCCTCCCCTCAGTCCTTCCCCCCACACCACCAGTTTCCCTGTTTGGAAGTCACATGTGAATGGGATCACGTGAATGTGACTTGTGACCAAGCCCCATTATGTTCCCATGTTCTTCCATGTGGTAGAATGTGGCCTCCAGCCCTTTTCTCAAATGGACATGAATTATTTCTTTGTATAAATACCATGATTGGTTTGTCCATTTGTATGTCAGTGGATCCTTGCACCTTTTGACTAACATGAATAGTGTTGCAGTAAGCATTCCTGTATAAACATGTCTCTATTTTCCTTGTCTATGCAGGCTAATTGCTTGGGCGCATAGTTTGGAGAACCCCAGAATGCTGTAGACGATTCTCTGTGTGCCTGAGAGATAGGATGGTGGGGAGGTGCTCACCTTGCAGAAGGCCTGCCCAGGTTTGCTCATGGCACCCCATAGAGTTCCCTGAGCCCACCAGAAATGATCTCCGAGCACAGCTGGGTATGACCCAAAAACAAAAAATAAGTGCCAGTGGATTTCAGAAATCACTGGTCATTTCCTATGCATGTTGGTCTGAATTCTTGTTCCATTTTGGGACAACACCCAGTGGTGCTCAGGGGTTATTCCTGATTCTGCTCAGGGTTCACTCCTGACGGGCTTACGGCACTGTGTGGGATGCTAGGCATCCCAGTTATCCGTGTGCCAGGCAAGCACGCTACCTGCAGTACTCTCTCTCCAGCCCTGTCTGGATTCTTAGAAGGGATCAGTGAACATTTAGGTTGGTCTGAGGTATATGACCTTCATATGGGATATGTTCCCATAGTTACTTCATTGGTGTCTATTGGGATTTTTTTTTCTATTTCAATTTTGGATCGCTCATTGCAAGTTTATAGAAATTAGGTGTGTCCTAATTTTTTGGTTGCAGTTAAGATTTTTTGTTTGGGAGGGGAGGGGTGGAGACTCAGGGTGCTCCAGGGCTTACTCCTCGCTCTGCGTTCAGGGACTGAACATGGCTGCATCCAAGGCAAGCTCCCTCCCCACTGTACTATGCTCCAGCTCCTGTTCGCAGTCTCCTAAGGGATATGGTATCATACATCCTTTATTCATTTCACCTGTCTGGTTCTGGGGACATATTTACAGCAGCTCCCTCAGACTTTCTCCCTTAAACACGGCCTCTGGCTGCTCCCATAGGTAGGTTTGATACTCCGGCAATTGTTCATTTCTTTGAAGTTGTTGGATTCATGAGCAAGTTGTTCCCTCAGTGCCATGTTCCCTCAGTGTCTCAGGTCATCTGGTACCAGGCTTTGTTAGTCTCCAGAGAGAGAAGGAGAGGGAGAAGTGGGAGGGGAGAGGGAAAGAGAAAAACTTTGGAGATCAGGAACTGCCACCTGCAATAGGGTCAGGGAAGCTGTGGCTCAAAAGAACCGTTTCGTTTCACTTACTCCTATTTTCCTGTTGTTAATTGTGCCCTTTACTAGTGCCTTCTGCTTTTTTGGTTTCTTTGTGGGGGCACTTGTCAGTCATTAAGGAAACAGCCAGATTCTTTGGAAATCTCTTGGAAGCAGCTGTGCCACGTCTCTGCTGAGTTAGCTGTGGATCCTGCTTTGGATGAAGTTGTCGTTCTTTAAAACACGCCTCTTTGAGCCATGAATTATTCACGATACTCTTAATTTCCTCCTGGCGTTTGCAGCCTTATTGATTTCTAGTTTGAGTCCTCTGCTCTGAGCTTTACATTCTCTGATTTCAGTTCTTCTAAATGTGCTGTTTGTTCCATGACCTGGGACTTGATCTTGATTAAATATTCCTCATTTTATATTCTTGGGCTGGGAAGATGTCTGAAGGGCTGGACTATGCCTGTGGGAGGCCCACGTTTGATCCTGAGTACGGCATGAGCCCCCAGGTGTCAGTGGCTGTGGCAGAAATCACACACAAATTAAGTAAATCCTTGTGTTCTGCTGTTGGAGTGTTCCCTGCAGTGGGTGCTGGTGGTGGAACTGTGTCTGGATCTTCAGTGTCTGCTGGCTTTTGTGATGGTTGGTGTTGGGGTCAGGCTTGCAGCTGCAATTATTAGTTTGCCCATTTTTCCCTCGGTCCATGTCAATTGTGGGAGGTTGGGGCCACACCCAGAGATGCTCAGGGATTACTCCCGGCTCTGCACTCAGCATCACTCCTAGCAGTGCTTGGGGGACCCTATGGGGTGCCCGGGATCAAACCCAAGTTGTCCTTGTGCAAGGTGAGTGCTCTCCCCACAGCTATCGCTCCAGCCCTGTCATGTCTGTTTTTTGCATTGTGTAGTCTGAGTCTCAGGTTGGTGTACACACAAAATACATCTTCCTTGTAGGTAAATCTGTTAAATAACTCATCCCTCTGTCTCATCATTTTCTTTGCCGTAAGTCAACTTTCTCAGATATTAAGATAGTCACTCCTACTTTTGGATTTTGGATTATGTTTGGTTAATTTTGTTTGTGGGATCACACCAACTGTGCTCAGAGCTTACTCCTGGCTCAGGAGATTGTATGGGACACTGGGGATCAAACACGGTACATGGGCCAGTGCCTTAACCCATGTACTCTCTCCAGCATAACAGAAAACGATGGACCACATAAATCACCACCAGACAGGGCTGCAGAAATAGCACAGCAGGGAGGGCTCTTTCCTTGCACACGATTGACCAAGGTTTGATCCCTGGTTACAGCCTGTGGTCCCCCATCGCCACAGGAGTGAGACCTGAACACAGCCACTTTGGGCCCGATACCTCCCATCCCCGCCCCCGCCCCCCAAAAGCACTTATCTCTATATTTTTTTCTATCCTATTCTGTTGTGCCTGTTACTGGGCTCGCAGGGCTTCTATGAACAGCATAGTTCCACCTGCCCTTTTTTTGTATGCTTTGGGGCCACGCCTGGTGGTGCTCAGCCTTTTCTGACTCTGTGCTCAGGATGACTCCGGGCAGCGTTCAGGGGACCAGATGCAGCAGCCCTGGGGGGTGTGGGCCAGAGGCAGGTTCCCCTTCACAGAGGAAGGTTCCCCCTCCCCAAGGCCTTACCTCCTGTACTCCCCAGTCCCAAGGCTCGCTAGCAGTGCTCAGCGACTGTTCCCTAGCGTAGCTGCTCCTGGCGTACCAGGGATTGAACTCAGGCCTCTTAGTTTGTGAATTTATATTTCAGTGTGTTTCATTTGCTCTTCTAGACTTTGGGGATTTTTTTAGTACCTCCCCAGCAGTGCTCAGGGGACCTGGAGACCTCCCCTGGGCATGTGGGTGAAAGGGTGCTGGGAGGGCTGTGATGCTGGGGGTGTGCAGGAGCCCCTGTGCCCAGGTTCAAACCAGGGTCAGCATTACAGGGCACGCACCTTAGCCTTCAGCTCTCTCTCGGGTCCTTGTAGCTTTCTGAGATGCTGGGCAGGTGGTTTTCAAGTCTCCTTACTGTCAGTCATCTCATTTATTTGTGGGTTGTTTCTTTTCCTTTTTCACCTTGCTCTCCTGCGGTGTAACAACTCTTGAGTCGTTGATCATGGTTTTGAGGGCATGGCTCTGTTGTTGTTGGGGTGCTTCTGCCCAGAGCAGTCAAACTCTTGTCTGTAGAGCTGTCTGTGGGATGTGACCTTGGTTTGACTGCTTTGTGTGAAATTTGAACTGTCGGATTCAGCTTCCATTTACCCGTCCTTCTGTGTGTCAGAGAGGAGGGCTTTTGCTTTTTTCACGGATACCTATTTTGTTCCCCCATGTTTCTTTTTTTTTCTTTCTAGCCCCAGGTGGTGCTGGGGGACCATATGGGATGCTGGGAATTGAACCTGGGTCGGTCCCATGCAAGGCAAACTCCCTACCCGCTGGGCTATCACTCCAGCCCCATTGTTTCCCCATGTTTCTGTTTTTTTCTTCCTGGTGAAGACTTCCCCGGCTTTCCTTTTTTCATTCCTTTTGTTTTGAAAGTCTTTGCCGGTATGTTGGCTAGTGAGAAATCACTTTCATTTTCTCTTAGCTAAGAATGTCTTTCAGGGGGTCCAGAGTGTTGGTGCAGTGGGTAAGGTGCTTTCCTTGAACATGGCAGATTTCGGATCAATACCTGGTGCCCCACAAAAAAAAATCTTTTGGTCCAATCTTTTGGTACAGTGAACAAGGCACTTGTCTTGCTTGTGGCCAACCCATGTTTGACCCCCCAGCATCACATATGATTCCCCAGACCCTGCTAGAAGTGATCGCTGAGAACTGAGCAAGGAGTCTGCCCTAAGCACAGCTCGGCATAGCCCGAAAATAAATAATTTGGGCTGGAGCGATAGCACAGCGGGTAGGGTGTTTGCCTTGCATGCAGCCAACCCGGGTTCGATTCCCGGCATCCTGTATGATCCCCTGAGCACCACCAGGGGTAATTTCTGAGTGCAGAGCCAGGAGTAACTCCTGTGCATCGCCGGGTGTGACCCAAAAAGGAAAATAAGTAAAATAATTTTTTCGGGGAGGGTCATACCCAGCAAAGCACAGAGGTTACTCCTGGCTCTGCACTCAGAAATCACTCGTGGCAGTGCTGAGGGACCATATAGGATGCTGGGGATTGAACCTGGGTCGGCCACGTCCAAGGCAAACACTCTACCCACTGTATTATCGCTCTGGCCTTAAATAAATTTTTTAAATATCTTCCCCTTCCTTCTTGAAAGGAAGTCTCTCTCACACAGTAGTCTGGTCCCACCGCCTCCCATCCTCAGTGTCAGACAAGCTCCACCCTAACTGCTGACCCAAATCCACTGTCTTAATTGCTGCTTCTGCTGGTATCATCTCGTTGGGTTGGCTCTGGAGATTGCTCTGTCTTTAATTCAGAGTTCAATTCTGAAGTGTCCATGTGAACTTCCTCGATTTCTTGTATTTGAAATTTGCTCAGCTGCTTTTCCTCTTTTACCTCATTTGGGACATTTCTGTCAAAGGTTGTTTTTAGTCTCCCCCCCCCACCTTTCTTTTTAATTGAATTACCATGAGATACACAATTACACAAAATTTGTTCATGATTGGGTTTCAGTCGTACAACGCGACCGTCATTTCTTTGAATTGTTTTTTTCATTCCAGCCTCTCCTCTCCTGGGACTCCAGTTGTATGAATGGCCAATCTTCTCTTGTCACCCAGCTTCCTGATTCTTGATGCACTTATTTTCTTCAGTGTGCTTTTTAACCCCTGTTCAATTGGCATGTCATCAGTGTTCTATCATTGTATGTGTGTCATCCCTGAAGGCAAGAGTTCTACTGCTGCACTGTGTTCTTGGCCTCCATAGGGCAGGTTTTCCATGTCTGTGATTGTTCTACAATCTGCATTTGCTTCTTTCTATTGTCTGTTCCTTTGAGGGAGTGGGGACGGTGGGGGTTGGGCCACACCAGGCGGTGAGACAGTGCCTAGAGCTCAGAATGACCCTGTGTGACTCAGGGGACCGAGTGTGTTGCTGGGCATTGAACCAGGGTCGCAGCTGTGCACAAGGCAAATGCTGTCTGTGTGTGCAGTTCCAAGTTTATTTTACCAGCAGCATCTGCAGTCTTCCTCCTCTTCCTCCTTCCTCCTCTTTTTCCTCTTCCTCCCCCTCCTCCTCCCTTTTTTTTTGTTCACACCTGGCAGTGCTCAGGGCTTACTCCTGGCTCTGTACTCAGGGATCACTCTTGGCAGAGTTCAGGGGACCATATCGGGTGCCAGGGATTGAACACGGGTCAGCCATGTGCAAGGCCCTCCCCGCTGTACTATCACTCTGATCCATTTTTTTCACGCCCATAGTGATGCCCTAGAAATGAGGGTGACTCACTTTGCAGCCATGCTGCTTAGGTCTCACATGAGGTGCTGACTGCAGTGACAAAGCAGCATCCGGAGACTGACACTCGGTCAGCTTCATGTGCCCTGTGCTGGACTCAGCTGACACGGTTCGCTTTTGAAGGGATGGACCATGGGTGCTTCCTTTGCCCAGGTTCTCTGCCACCGCAGACGCCCCTAGAGCTGTTGGTGGGGTTGTGGCAGGAGCACCCCTGGGAACTGACTGTGCTCCCAGCGCACACTGGCTCAAGTCGGAGTGTTCCTTTTCACTGCAGTTAGAGTTGCAGAAAGGACCCTGTTCCAGGGCCACGCTGGAAGCCCTCGGGCCCTGGCACAGAGCAGCAGAAAGTGGGTCTAGCTGAGGGTTCGGGACAAGGACATACGTGATGGGAAGTGGGACATAGTTAGGAGTTGAGGGGCAAGGTGGTGTGTCTGTCGCTGGGGGACAAATGCACTGGCTCTACCAGTGGCGAAAGAGACGCAGGGGCAGCGCTTCAGTGGGGACTGAGCCCGGAGAGTCAGGGGCCAGGGGGGCTAGGGGGGCCAGCTGGGCGCCACAGCACCGTTCCTGCCAGCCCGGGGGCAGGACCACCACGAGTTTCCCGCCCCTTTCCCGCCAACAATGGCCGCACTCATTCCCGCCCCAGACCGGCGCTTTCATCTGTGCCCGCCTCCCCCGCGCCTGGCACTGGGTGCTACAATCCGAGAGCTGGGCTGTGGGGCGAGGTGGAAAGCGCAGGGCAGCTGCGACTGTCCCAGCCTGCAAGGCCCTGCACAGCCCAGGGACCGCTCGGTCAGGAGAGCGGCGCTGCCTGGCGCGCCTGCGCCCGTTGCCAGGGAGACGGGAGGCTGTTGCCAAGGCGACCGACGACTGCGCAGAGCAGCCAATCAGAGTGGGACTGCGGCTCTGGCTCACCGCTAGGATGGAGTCCCGGGAACCGGCAGGGCGCCCCGGCCCGGGCGGCTGGGGGTCGGAGCCTCCGAAGCGGGGTGACGCTGCTGCCGCCTCCCAGAGCCCCCGGGCCCCCGACCTGCCCCCACCCCGCGTTCTGGCTGCCCCTGCCCCGGGGAGGAGCGGTGCTACCTCTCTCGATCTGCACCGCTGCTGAAGGGCAGATGCCGCGGCATAGGTGGGTCCGGGGGGCCACGGTCAGGGAGGGCCCCGCCCCGAGCCCCCCGGCGAGCCCCGCAGTGCCCGGCCCCGCGCACGCTCGCTGGGCGCTGACGTGGCCGCTGACAGCAGCCGGCGCCGCCCCGCGCCCCTCCCGCCCGCCGAGGGGCGGCGGCCGCGCAGTCTCGGGGCCGCACGGACGGACCGACGGACGCGCCGCCGCGAGAGCGGAGCTCGGCGCACGGCCAGACCATGCCCGGGGAGGCCGCCCGCGCCGAGCTGCCGCCGGCCGAGACAGAGGGGCCGGGGCGCCGGACAGGTGAGGCCGCGGCCCCTCCCTACCACCTCCACCTCGGCGCCCTGTCGCCCCTGTCCCCGCACCCGCCCCGCCCCGCCCCTCGGACCCTGTCCCGGGATCCGGCCCCATTCAAGGGCGGGATGGACCCGGCAGGGCCCTCGGAGCCCCAGCGAGGCGGCGACACCCCGCGCCCATTGTCTGAGCTGAGCTGCCAGCCGGCTGCTCGGGACTGCAGAGTGGGGCCTCCTTGCACCCCAGCCTCGGGGCCCTGCCCCACCCAGATGCCTGTGGGACCCCCCGGGAGCGGGCTGCTGGGGCTGGGGAGGGAAGCAAAGGCCTAGACAGCTCCTGAAAGAGGGAGGGGCAGGCTAGGGTGGGGGTGGGGTGTGGAGCAGGGGTCCGAGTCCAGTCTGGCCCCTGGGAGACTAGGGCGGTAGCTGGACAGGGACTCCTGTGCGTCTCCAGCACAACCAAGGGCACCTCTGGGAGAAGTCACCTGAGGTGGACAGGCTGTTCCAGGCCGGGCCCTGGGCTCCAGGGAGGGGACGCGGGCTCCAGCCAGCGCCGTGCACTGCTGATGACCTTGATGCGTCAGTCCTTTGCCCCCTCCAGCCTCCCAACGTAGGAGGCAGCCCTGCCCCACCCCAAGAACCAATGGGCTAGAAACACCAAAGGCTCCGTGCCGAGCCACACCCACCGGGCCCCCAGGCTGGTGTCTCTCCTGTCCCCAGGGACCCTCCTGCAGTGTCAGTGTGGAGTTGCCTGGCATTGCCCAGCCCCATGCTTCCTGGCCTACCCTGACAGTGTGCTGGGTTTGAGCCATTGAGGCAGAGATGTCCCCAGGTGGCCACCAGTGAGTGGCAGAGCAGGGACACCTGGACACCCCCGCCCCAGGACGGGGCAGAGCCCTTGGATGGTGACCCCACAAGGAACCCACCCAGACACCCCCAGCGGAGGCCCTAGAGCAGGACAGGGTTCTGGAATCACCGGCACTGACACCCTCCAGTCAGGTGCTGAGCTCACCCCAGGGTGCCCTGCCCCGGCCACAGCCTGACCCCAGGGCGGAGCATGTGAAGTCCCCAGATGTGAGCACCGAGCTGGAGCTGGGAGAACTGCCTGGAAGAATCTCGTTTGCTCCCTGGCACTATGGGGCCCGCCACTCCATCTCCCTCCCCCAGCACTGTTGTGAGAGCCTGATGGCCCCAGCGCCTGGTACGACGGGCCAGAAAAGCAGACACCTGGATTTCCCTCTGCCTTTCTGAGTGACCCGATCCCCCAGCCCTTTGTGCGGTCACTCGCGGGACAGACCTGTCCTCTCACATCTTTCTCTCCACAGATCTGGCCTGCCATGTGGCGCTGGCCACCAGCCCCAGAGGGGAGCCACTGGAGCAGTGCGCCCTGAGCCCTGGGCCCAACCCCCTGGGCCTCAGCTTCCTGCCCAGCAAGCCCGGCACCCGGCCCCCACCTGAGGGAGCCAGCTGGGATGCGGGGCCAGGCAGTGCCCCCTTGGCCTGGGCCGACTCCACGGAGGGTGCTCCTAGCCCCAAGACCCCTGAGATTCTGCCCACGGAGGGCCTTCTCCCAGACGCTCTGGAGCCTCGGATTGTGATGGGCGAGGAGACACAGTGGGGGGCTGCCCTGAGCGAGCTCAGGGAGCAGGAGGGGGGGCCCTGCGGACTGAGCCCCCCACCCGAGCCGTGTTCTCAGGGCCACTCTCCTGTGCCTTTGACTGCCTTGGAGCCCGAGTCCTACTTCACACCTCCGTCCACCCCCAACACCGCCTGGACCCTGCTGCCAGCCCGGGGGCGTGGCCAGGGCCCGAGGGACATGCCAGCCGAGTTCGGAGACTCGCCACCCACCTCGCCCTCTGGCTCCTACGTCACAGCAGATGGGGACAGCTGGGCCTCCTCTCCCTCCTGCTCCCTCAGCCTGCCGGACGCTGCCTCGGGCTGGGGCCGTTCCCCTCCGGGGCCCACGGAGGGTGAATGGGCGCAGCCTCCTGCGGCCCGGCCCGGCTCCTCTTCCCCCGAGTCTAGCCTGTCCGAAGACAGCAGCTCTTCTTGGAGCCAGGAGGGCCACCTGGACCTGGACTTCCTGGCCAATGACCCCATGATCCCTGCTGACCTCCTGCCCTTCCAGGGCAGCCTTATCTTCCAGGTGGACACCGTGGAGGTGACACCATTGCCGCCCGAGGAGGAGGAGGAGGAGGAGGAGGTGGCCTCGGGGGACGGGGATGCGGAAGATGACAGCACCTTTGCCTCCTCCCTGCAGTCACTGTCTGACCTGTCCATCACCGAGGGCATGGACGAGGCCTTTGCCTTCAGGGACGATGCCTCGGCGACCTCCTCGGACCCCGACTCTGCGTCCTATGCTGGGGCGGATGATGAGCAGCTGTACAGCGGAGAGCCGCACGCCCAACCTGCTCTGCTCAACAACAGTGGGGACCCGGGGGCCCATGTCCCAGAGGACGAAAGCACCTGCGCCCCTGAAAGTCAGGGGCCCCCCGAAGCCCATGACCCCCACGACCTGAAGAAAGCCCCTGGCCTCACTGAGACAAGCCCTGGAATCAGGAGCACAGAAACTGGCCCCATCACGGGACCAGAACCGACAACCGCAGCCACGGCCCAGCCTCTGCAGCAAGGAGTCGGGGCAGCCTTGGGCCAGGAACCCCTGACATTGCAGGAAAACGCGGGCATCCTGCACGGCCCAGACTCCCGGGAGAATCTGGAAGAAGCAGCCGCGGGTCTTCCCGCGGTGGCCAGCCCTGAGCCCCAGCAGGGACCGACGGGCCGGCCCTCGCTCCGGGAGCCAGACCGGCAGGTCCCAGACACCCACGCAGCCTGCGGCCCGGGGACCGGTGCTGGAGCCAGCACCGCCCAGCAAGAAGCAAGCGGGGTCTTGTGTCAGATGCCAGCCCCCGAGAGGGCTATCGACAGACCAGCGGGAGGCCCAGCGCCGGGCGCAGACCCCCGCGTGCACCGGGCTCCGCCTGGGCCCGGGCCACGCTTGCACACAGGTGACGGGGCCCGGCCCCCGCCGCCCCTGGAGGAAGCCCCCAGGGCCAGGCAGCAGGGTGAAGGGGCCCCAGAGCCAGCGCTGGAGGGTGCTGGGCAGGCCCCCGAGAGCAGCGGCCCTGAGGTCAGCGGGGCAGGGGGGAACCACGTGGCGGGAAGGGCGGGCCCAGAGCGCGCGGCTGTGGGCACACAGGCCCCCGGGGACTCATGCTCAGAGGCTCAGTCCGGGGCGCGCCCCCCACCCGCCCCACTCCGCGGCCCTTGCTCCTCGCAGCCCCCCACTTCTCGGGACAGGCTCTCAGGTGTCCTCACGGGGACAGCGCTGCCCCCCACGCTGCCCCCCGCACATGCCCTTCGCCAGGGCCCCTGGGAAGCCGGGGTGGAAGGGAAAGGGCCCCTGCGCTCTCTGGGACCCCGGCCGCCCTGGGCAGTCCCGCGGGCTGCGGGCACCACCTCAGGGACCACGGACACTCCCAGGGCCAGGCAGCAGGTCAGTCTCCCTGCCCACTCCCCACTCCTCAGCCTCAAGGTGGCCCCCGCAGGGGACACCCAAGCCAAAGACTCCGCCTCCAGGGCCTCGACCCCCTGCCACGTGCCTCCTGGCTCTGGGCCCCGGAGCCCAGCCCGCCCGCGCCGACCCCCAGCCGCGCAGCCCCAGAACGACCAGGACAGCCCAGAAGAAGGTGAGGGGCCCGGAGAGGGGAGTGCAGGCGCGGACCCCGCCCCGGCGGCGCGGAGCGAACGGGGCGAGCCACCCGCACTCTGTCCCCAGGCTCTGGCCAGCACTCGGACAGCCATGGCGAGTCGTCGGCCGAGCCCGAGCCGGAGGAGCAGGAGTCCCCAGGACCTCAGACGGCACAAAACCCCACGCAGGTGCCGGGTCCGGGGAGCCCACCCCGCGCTCAGGCCCCGCCCCCAGCGCTCAGGCCCCGCCCCTGTACTTGATAACCCTCCCTCCCCGCTCTCGGGCCCCGCCCCTTCGCTTCGAACCCTCCCTCCCCGCTCTCGGGCCCCGCCCCTCCCCGCGTTCAGGCCCCGCCCCTGCGCTTAGAACCCTCCCTCCCCTGCTCTCGGGTCCCACCCCTGCACTTGATAACCCTCCCTCCCCCGCTCTCGGGCCCCGCCCCCGGCGCTCAGGCCCCGCCCCGGTACTTGATAACCCTCCCGTCCCCGCTCTCAGGCCCCGCCCCTGCGCTTCGAACCCTCCCTCCCCGCTCTCGGGCCCCGCCCCTGCGCTTAGAACCCTCCCTCCCCTGCTCTCGGGTCCCACCCCTGCACTTGATAACCCTCCCTCCCCCGCTCTCGGGCCCCGCCCCTTCGCTTCGAACCCTCCCTCCCCGCTCACGGGCCCCGCCCCTCCCCGCGTTCAGGCCCCGCCCCTGCTCTTAGAACCCTCCCTCCCCTGCTCTCGGGCCCCACCCCCGGCGCTCAGGCCCCGCCCCTGCTCTCAGGCCCCGCCCCTGCGCTTCGAACCCTCCCTCCCCGCTCTCGGCCCCCCGCCCCTCCCCGCGTTCAGGCCCCGCCCCTGCGCTTAGAACCCTCCCTCCCCTGCTCTCGGGCCCCACCCCTGCACTTGATATCCTCCCTCCCCGCTCTCAGGCCCCGCCCCTTCGCTTCGAACCCTCCCTCCCCGCTCTCGGGCCCCGCCCCTCCCCGCGTTCAGGCCCCGCCCCTGCACTTATAACCCTCCCGCCCCTGCTCTCGGGCCCCACCCCCGGCGCTCAGGCCCCGCCCCTGCACTTGATAACCCTCCCTCCCCCGCTCTCAGGCCCCGCCCCTTCGCTTCGAACCCTCCCTTCCCGCTCTCGGACCCCGCCCCTCCCCGCGTTCAGGCCCCGCCCCTGCACTTAGAACCCTCCCTCCCCTGCTCTCGGGCCCCACGCCCGGCGCTCAGGCCCCGCCCCCGCTCTCGGGCCCCACCCCTGCACTTGATAATCCTCCCTCCCCGCTCTCGGGCCCCACCCCTGCACTTGATAATCCTCCCTCCCCGCTCTCAGGCCCCGCCCCTGCGCTTCGAACCCTCCCTCCGCTGCTCTCGGGCCCCACCCCCGGCGCTCAGGCCCCGCCCCTGCGCTTAGAACCCTCCCGCCCCGCTCTGGGGTCCCTCCCGCCCCGCGCTCAGGCCCCGCCCCCTCCCTGCCAGGCTTTGGCGAGCGGCGGCAGCAGCAGCGAGGACCCAGTAGCTAAAGCCAAGCAGAGTCGCAGTGAGAAGAAGGCCCGGAAGGTGGGCTTGGGCCTGGGACTCAAAGGAGGGCGGGCTGCCCAGCTGACCCACCCCACAGGGATCCTTGGGGGAGCATGGGGCCGTGCAGGAAGGGCACCCCTTCTGGTGAAGCGCCGGGGTCGCCGGGTGGGCGGGGCGGGTCCCGGCAAACTCAGCCAATGCCCTGTGGTGCACGTGGGCTCCTGGGAGCACGCACGAGTCCTCTGCAGTGGCGCTGGGCCCTGTCCCCGGCGGCGGTCCTCCTTCGCGAGTGGGACCCTGGGCTGACGTCCGAGTCTGAGCGGAGCCCCCTGCGCCCCAGGCGATGTCCAAGCTGGGCTTGCGGCAGATCCAGGGGGTCACCAGGATCACCATCCAGAAGTCCAAGAACATCCTGTTCGTCATCGCCAAGCCTGACGTCTTCAAGAGCCCAGCCTCGGACACTTACGTGGTCTTCGGGGAGGCCAAGGTGCTGCGGGCCGGGGGGGAGGCTGGGCAGAGCGGGGGTCCGCTCACCGACCGGGAGGTGGCGAGGAACGGGCGCGCGAGGCCCGGCCCACCCAGGGGCCAGAGGCGGGGCGCGGCCCGCTGACCCAGACGCTGCCCCGCAGATCGAGGACCTGTCCCAGCAAGCGCACAGAGCTGCCGCGGAGAAGTTCAAGATGCCCGCGGAGCCCTCCACCCTGGCACCCGAGTCTGCGCCCGGCCCTCGGGTGAGGCCCGAGCGCAGGGAGGAGGAGGAGGAGGAGGAGGTGAGAGCCGGCGGGAGGGGCGGGTGTGCTGGGCCGCGGGGCAGTGGCCGGGACCGCCACGCTGCCCCGCTCCCGCTCTCCAGGTGGACGAGACAGGGCTGGAGCTGCGGGACATCGAGCTGGTGATGGCACAAGCCAGTGTGTCCAGGGCCAAGGCAGTGCGCGCCCTGAGGGACAGCCAGAGCGACATCGTGAATGCCATCATGGTGAGCCAGGTGGGGCCGGCAGCTGCGCGGGGGTCCCTGCTGGGCGCAGCCTGACCAAGCGGTTTCTTGCAGGAGCTGACCATGTAGCCTCCGACCGCCGCCTCCTGCCACCCCACCCCCAGCTGATGCTCAATAAACGGGTGTCTGCTAGCACTCTGCTGCTGCTGCTCCGGGGAGGGGTGTGGGGGGGAGGTGCTGGGAGCCCGCGCACTGGGGCAGTGGTCCCGAGAGGGCACACGAGGACATGCAGACACTGCTGGGGAGGCTGGTGTTCTTTCAGTGTTCAGTGTCCCTCGAACCCTGGGCAGATGGCTTCTCCAGAGCCTCTGGCCATCTGGTCACCTGGTTGTGGCCCAGAGTGGAGACGATTTTTGGGGGTGGGGGCAGGGGTCACGGGGCACCCAGGCCAGAGAGGACATAGGAAAGCATCCGATCAGAACAGTGGCCAGTGCCCCAGTGTCCAGCCCTGCGCACCAGGTTCGAGAGGTCTCCCCAGGAGCTCGGTATCCAGCTGAGCAGAGCCCAGTGCCAGAAAGGGGTTGGGGACAGACACAGAAAGGTGGAGTGCGCAGGCAGAAGACCCCAGGAGGAAAAACTAGGCTTTTGTTTTATTTTGGTTTGGGGCCACACCGGGCCATGCTCAGAGGTCACTCCTGGCTCTGCACTCAGGAATCACTCCCGGCGGCGTCAGGGATCAAACCCGGATTGGCAACATGCAAGGCAAATGCCCGCCCCCGCCCGCCCCCCCCAACTCTGCGGCCCTAGGGAAAAGCAGTTCTGACCATGCACAGGACAGAGCCCGCCGCCTGTGGCCAGCTCAGGTTGGGCTTGAGAGGGCCAGCCCCTGCACCTGCAGCTGTCCCTGCGGGTTGCAGACACTTGCAGGCTGCATGCACGGTCAGGAGCCCTGGCTCATATGATCGTCCCTCTGCCTTGCATGTGTCTCGGTTTTCCCAGCCCAACTGTGGCTCTCCTGCAGCCAGGTTTGTCCGAGCAGAGCCCGGTTGGCCAGCCAAGGGCATCCCGTCTCACGCCCAGGGCCCTGAGGTGCTCCTCAGAGCACACTGTCATGGTCAGGGGTGCGGCTGCCGTGGGGTGCGGGGGTCCCAGCCCCTGACCTTTCTCAGCCCTGCACCCCCACTCCCACCCACAGAGGCACCAAGCTTGGGGACCCCAACGCTGAGAAACTGGGGCGAGGAGGTGGATGGTCTGGTGCCAGTGCAGGTCAGGGTCAGCCCTGGAGCCCACCGGGTGGTGGGCAAACCTGGAACAAGGGCCGGGGCCTGGACTGGGGGTTCTGGCTACATGCCTGGGGCATCGCTGGCCCGTCCCCGGGCCCCACGTGCAAGGAGCCAAAGCCTCCCCCCACACCCGCCTCTCCCGGGGCGTCAGAGAGGAGATAGATTCACATTGCTGTAAACGCATTTACGGTCTCTGAGCTGCAAGAGGAATGTCATGTGCAAAACGGAGCCCGGCCCGGCCCGTGTCCAGACCCTGCGGCGGCAGCACAGCCGCTGCCCCGCCACGCTCCTTCACAGTAGAGGCTGTGCGCTGAGGGAACACCGAGGCCGCGGGCACGTCACGCAGAGTCCTGGTCCATGCTGCAGCCCAGCGCCTCGATGTCGTTGCTGATGTCCGAGATCATGCGGTCCCACTCGTCGCCCTCGGAGGGGGCAGACTGGTCGTCGGAACTCCCAGCCGCCCTGCTGCCGTTGGAGGCGGAGGCGGAGCTCACGGCCCGCCGGTACCGGCCGAAGCTGTCGGTGATGATGCCGCGGCCGTCCTTGACGCCGATGGTCTCCAGGAAGTTCTCAAAGTGCTGGCTGTCTTTCTCGGGGATGAAGGGCCGCAGACCTGCAGACACGGCAGCTGGCAGGGGCCGGCGGGCACCCGCGCCCTACCCGGGCCGTGCAGCAGCGCCTGCCAGGACAACTGAGCCTCACCCCCATTCCCTGGCAGACGCCAACCTCAGACGCGTATACTCTGGCCCTACCAGCGCCCCCTGACGGTCACGCCATGGGAGGGCAGGAGAAAGGCCCCGAGGGACGCAACCCCATGGCCACCCTTGGGGTCTGACTGCCTGACCAGAGGGGCGTGCTCTCAGAGAACAGGAGGAAGGGACGTCGTCCCCACCCTGTACCCCACAGGCAACCCGCCCCAGCAGTCCAGGCTGCAGGCCCAACGCAGCCACCTTCGCCCACTGTGTCCCCGGGGACAGAGCTGGGAGACCTCAGGCAGTAACTCACCCCCAGACGCCGACTGGGCGCCCTCAGCCCCACTCCTCGCCAGAGCCTGCTAAGCCCCCACTTATTTCTTTTCCTTGGGGGCCACACCCGGCAGTGCTCGGGACTCCTCCTGACTCTGCACTCAGGGCTCGCTCCCGGTGGGGCTCGGGGAACCCCGTGGGGGGCCGGGGATCGAACCCTGCTGCGCTACTGCCCTGGCTCCAGGCACCACCTTCCAGGACGAGCCCCTGGCCCTCTCCAGCGCCCGAGCCCCCCGGCTCGCCCCTCCTCGCCCCTCCTCGGGGTGGCCACCCGCTCCCCAGGGAGAGGCTGACCCACCGAGCAGCAGGAACTTCCGGCTGTCGCCGTAGAGCTGCCGCAGGTTGATGCAGAACTCGTGCACGGACGCCCCGTCCCGGTACTCGTGCAGCAGCGCCGCGAACTGCTGGATCTCCTGGGATGAGAGCTTGGTACGCAGCTACGGGGACAGCACACGGCAGTGACCGGGCGTGGAGCCAGCCCTCCTGCCCAGCTCTCAGCCCGCCCGCCGGCCACGGGAGCCGGAGTTCCCAAGGACAGGACGAGGGACGGCCCTGCGGCAGGGCCGTCCCTCTGCCCAGCCGGCACCGAGGACTCTCAGGGAGTGGCCCGTGGTCCCCGTCAGTCCCCAAGTCCCCCTCCCTGCCCACGCCCCGGTCACGCCGTACGGTCAGCATGTAGTCCTGGAGCAGCTCGGCGGCACTGGCGCTCAGCTCACTCTCGCTGGCCGTCTTGGCGTGGGGAGACGCTGGCATGCCAAAGGACGAGGGGGACACGCCGCCCGGGTGCACACATTCGGGGAAGGCACTGCGGGGACACAAGGGCAGGCTGGCAGTGGCTCAGGGCCCCGCCCTGGGAGGGGTGAGGCAGCCTCCAGGGCTGATGGCTCAGGAGGAAGCGGGAAAGTGACCGAGGCCCGCAGTCTCCACCCTCCCCACGGGCACTCACAAAGTGCTGGCGTCCATCTCGTAGGGCTCCTTCATGTCCACTTTGGTGGAGGAGTCATCTGGGGAGAGGGCAGAGAGCGGGGAGGGCACCTGAGGCCTGCAGCCAGGCTGGAGTGGCACCTGGTGGCTGGTGCCACCACCGCACGGGCAGGGTTGGCGCCACACGGGCAGCTGCTCCGTCTCCCAGAGCCAGGTGAGTCCCTTTGCCAGAAGCCTGTCCGAGACGACGCGGCTACCACGTAGAGGCAGACACAGGACAGGACAGATGACCCCGGCCACCCATGGGGGAGTGTAGAACCAAAGCAGGACAGGCACAGGGGGTGACCCAGTGGGGTTGGCCACATCCCCCATCCCACTGCTCCTGACCGAGATGACCAAGTCTGCTGGTTGACCACAGCAGCACGGCGTGTCTGCAGTATGTGTGCCCCTGAGGGGCAGGGCCACAAAGGACACCGTGCGGACAGGGCAGTCCCCATGGCACAGACTCCTTCAGATGCGGAGGTCACGGGCGCAGTGAGTCTTTGCTACTTCAGAGACGGTGAGGAGCACCGTACCAGGGCTGGGATGAGGCTCTCAGTGTGAACCGAGGCCTGATGCCAGGGGGGGAAGAGTGCTGACGGGGCCTGCAGGATGCTCTGGGCGCATGGGGAGCCCACACACGGCAACGAGCAACCCAGCATGGTGGCTCCGGGACAGGTGGCACGGCTGCGAGGGTGAGGCCTACCAGCGGCCTCTCTTCCCAGCTGTGGGGTCAGAGGTCCCTGCCCACGATGGGGGGGGTGGGGGGGGGCAGAAGCCCCCACCTGTTCATGGGGTTTGGTGCTCATGAAAGTGGGCGGCGTGTCCAGCAGAGCATGGGCAGGAGGGCAGGCCCAGACGGTCCACCCCGCCGCGCCGCCTGCCTCCTCCCCTGCCTTCTCCAGCACCCCCAACGTCGACGCCGTGTGCAGTGACTTCAGCATGCGCCTTCCTGGAGGCGCCCTCGGCGCCCGGGAAAGAGTGGACGCCGTGCTGAGGCGGGGGCCAATGGACAGTGGGGTCCAGACCACCAGGCCAGCGCCACCCCCCACTCCTGCACCTACCCAGCTGTACGTACCACTGTGCAGGGACAGGTGGTGGGTGGGCGTGGAGGCGCCGTCGAATATGGCTCTATCCAGAAAGTCGATGGTGGACTCCGTGTAGACAACCTGGAAGACCTGCCCGAGCAGGGAGCACAGCTCCTCTGCGGCCACCTGCGGGGAGACAGTCGTGCCCAGGCTGACGCCGGGAACCAGCCCGCGGGCCATGTAGCCTAGGAAAGCAGGGGCTGGACCCGGTGCTGACTGAAGGAGGACGCTGGGCTTGCCCAATGGCCTGCCTCCCAGTCCTGCACACCCCCGGGCAGGACCCCGAGTGACTGTGGCCACAGGGTGTGGGCTCAGGGTCTGGGCCTGACCTTGCTCTCGGTCGCCAGGATCACCAGGCAGCACGCCTCCACGGGCCCCACTCCGCTCTCCGACAGGGAGCCGGCTGAGAGGCCTCTGGAACCTTCTGCACACAGGCTCTGGCTGGGGGAGACGCCAGGGCCCTGCGCTGCGAGGAGACACCACAAGAAGTCAAGGCAGGTGCGGGGCTCGGCCGGCCGCGCTCACCCCCACACGTGGGGTGCCCACGGGGAGCAGCACCTGCCCGTCCCCACAAGCACACCTCTGCCCCCCAGTGGCGGCCTGGGACTCGCAGGCTGTGCCCACAGGCCACTGCTTCAGCTGTCTCCAGGTGCCAACAACACATAGGGGCCCTACCCCGCCTGCAGCTGACTGACTGTCCCCAGGGCCACAGGCATGGGGACTGAGGCCTGAGGCCATGCATGCAGGCCACTTCCTGAATGCTGGGAGCCATCACGAGGTAGACAGGCCATGTGCACAGCCTTTCCGCTGGGCAGGGCCAAAGCACCAGCTCCAGGCTCCCATCGACTCTGGCAGGAACCCCCCAGAGCTCGTTCTCTCATTTCAAAATAAAAACCTGTTTTCTCTAGCAGTTCCTTCTAATGCAAAAACAAAATGTCTCACGGCCCAAGAAACGTGAGGCTTAGCCAGCCGGGAAGGCCAGCAGGCACCACTCAGAGCCACTCTTTGTCCTGCCCAGACTCCTGCCTCCCACGGGGCTGACAAGTGGGAGGTGGTGCAGAGCCAGGCTCTGACCCTGCTGTCCACCCCCCTGCCCTCTGACTGCATTCTGCAAATCAGGTCGGCCAACTGCTTGTCCCTCACCCGCCCGCAGAGAGGAAACAGGCTTTCCAAGACGCCCCTGCGGAGATGCACGATCACAGCAAACACTCTGCACTGTCAGCCACGTTTAACTCCTTGGTTAAATAACGGTCGTTTGGGGCCTACAAGGTACTCGGGAAACCATGAAGGCGGGGACACAGGCAGAGCAGAGGGGGTGCCTCGCAGCTCCGAGCTGCAGACACCATGTGGGATGGCGAATACAGGTGTCTACACACGCTCATGCAGGAGCATGAGGTGTGCACACGTGTGCCAGGTGTGCAGGGAGGGAGGCATGTGAGCAGTCAGTATCTGTGCGTGTGTGTGTGCGCGACTGTGTATATGTGTGGACTGTGAGTGCGTGTGAGGTGTGTGTGTGTGGATGTGTGTTGTGTATGTCAGCATGTGTGGACATGGACGTGTGTGTGAGTGCGTGTGTGTCATGAGTGTATCCAAGTGTGTGCAGAGGAAACTGTGGCCGTCCCGGCCCCCAGCGGTGTGGCTGGGTAGAGCCCTCAACTCACTCCTGCAGCTCAGCAGGAGAGAGCGTTGTCTGCATGCAGGCAGGTCTGGCAGCACCTCATGCCAACCTCGCCTCTGTGGGCAGGGCAGGGCAGGGCAGAGTCAAAGGACAAAGGTTTCTCCATCCGCCCTCAGGTGGAGCCGTGGCACAGGGGTAGCTTGGCAGGACCTTAGGCCGGAGCAGTGCGCTGCCGGCCCCAGGTGGGATGAAACGTGGGCAGGGAGGACGCTGGCTCCTCCTGGGCCCTTCTGTGGTCCCCGGCACAGCCATGCCGGGCTGTGGCTCGGTTCTACCAGTACCGGCCTGGCTCAGCCTCAGACTGTCCGCACTGTATGGCCTCACCTGTGTGGGGAGAACACGCGGCAGCTGCTCACCCCTGCTCGGGGCTCCCAGACCGGGACGCTGGAGTCCAGCTCACCCCGGGCATGGGCAGTGGCGGCCCAAGGCCCCGAGTCAGAGACACGAGGTGTGGCCGGCCTGGAGCTGGGGGCTGCTATGGCGGGGCGGGGGGGGGGGCAGGGGGCGCAGTGCTGAGCCCGGGCCTGTACCTGTCTTCAAGACCACCAGGTGCGAGGCGTCGTCCCGCACGTAGGACACAGCTGCGATGTCGTGGATGGGGACCCTGAGGATGGTGTCCTCCCCGTCCCTCCAGGCCAGCTTGACGTTGTAGGCAGACAGGCTGATCACAGCATCGTGCTCTGGGGTCAAGTGGCCAGGGAGCAGGTGGGCTCTCTGCAGGAAAGCACAGTGTGAGGAATGGGGGCCCAGACAGGCTCGTGCTCAGTGCTCAGTGCTCGGTGCTCGGGGAGTCAGCCCAAACACAGCCACACCTGCTCCGGAACGACTGCATCACCGCACGTGCAGGCCCTTCCGGTCTGGCCTGGACACACGGTTGGGAGCAGCTTGAAGATGCGGCTTCTGCACACAGCCCAGAAGGGAGCAGCCAGTGCGGACAGCAGAGCCGACGGTGGGCCGGGCGCACAGATGGGAGGAGGGGAGAGAGGCAGGGCCGGGGACGGTACCTTGGCATTGTCTATGAAGTGCAGGATTTCCGTCCTGCTCGAGGGGTTCAGGTATCCTGGTATGGACGTCAGCTGACCTAAGTACTGAAAGGAAGCGTGTGAGGAAGAGGGCGGTCGCCGGGCACCAACCCCGCTGCCCTGAGTCTGCCGGGGAACCCTGCATCCCCCCCCCCCCCCCGCCCCGAACACAGCCTGGGCTGGGTCGGGGGGCGGGGCGGTGGCAGAGGAAGGCAGTGGATGACCACGGCCACTTCTTCCAACACGGTCTGGCAGGTGGGTCTCAGGACAGTGCACAGGCGTGTGGCCCCATGTCCGCCCGGTCTGTGGGAGCCTGTGAGAGGTTCTGTCAGGACAGAACCAAGAAGACACTGCTCAGAGGCCTTCTGGGCAGAGGCCAGGGGCAGGGAGAAGGCGCCAGAGCTGCGCAGTCGCAGGCTGGGCTCAGGGAGGAAGCCTGAGGCCACGGCCCTGGGTGTCTGTCTGTGGCACCCTCCAGACCAGGGCGAAGACCAAAGAAGCCCTCTCACGCCTCCCATCTGGATGGCTACTACCATAATGATAGCAAGAGTCGGGAAAATGGGAATCCCGAGATGAATGAAGACACGGGGGCTGGTGCTCAGATGTGGAGCATATGCCCTGGGTTCGATTCTTGTCAAGTCTCTCTCTCTTTCACACACACACACACACACACACACACACACACACACACACACACACTGCTCAGAACCCCATATTTTCAGTCTCTCACTCACACCCACCATGCACATCGATGTACTCCCACGCACGCTCGCAGTCTGACGGCATGGGTCTGGCATGGTACTGAGTCCCATCCCCGGCAACACCGAGTCCCCCGGGCAACACCAGATGTCACCCACAAGCACAGAAAGTAAAGGCAACGTCAAGCCCTGCCCCAGCAGTCCAAGCCAGACACCCTGAAGGAGCAGCCTGTTTGAGCTGGGGTGTCATGGCAAGTGCCCGGCAGTGACCGTCCTGGGGGTCCCAAAGGAACTGGCCCGGGAAGTGCGGAAACAACATCCAGGACAACCAAGTACTCAGGATCTCAGGCATCGACAAGGGCCTCTATCAGGTCGGAGTGTACAGAGCCAGGCGAGTCCAGAGCCCAGTGACTGAGGTGACCTGCCCACCCTCTGGGACAGCCCAAGCAACCCCACTGCCTGCCCAGCACCCACCGCGCTCCCAGAGGCCCAGCAGAGCCATGATGCCCTCCAGGACTCCAGCGGCATGAGGGTCAGACCCACCTCTGGGCAGATTACAGGGATGTCCAGGGCTGCCGCAAACCCAACGGGGGCGCATCTCGGGACACAGAGAAGCATAAAGAGGGTGCAAGGACTGCAGTCAATGGAGCACACGCATTTCCCAAGGCCTCTGGGGAAGGCCCCGTGTCCACAAGGGATTGAAAGAAGCACACATTGACTGTCCTACCCTGAGAACCCCTGGACATGTCAGCTGTGCAGTCGGGGCGGGAGAGGAGGTGGGGGGGAACAGTGCCCCAGAGCCCTGCCCAGCTGACATGAGAAGCAAGCACCGCACTGAGCCCCTCACATGACAGACCAGTGTCTCACACCCCTCACATGACAGACCAGTGTCTCACAACCCTCACATGACAAAAACCAGTGTCCTGTAGTCCTCATGTGACACAGACCAGTGTCCTACACCCCTCACATGAGACGTGTCCTATACCCTCACATGACAGAAACCAGTGTCCTACATCCCTCACGTGACAGAGACCAGTGTCCTGTAGCTCTCACATGACAGACCTGTGTCCTACACCCCTCACACGACAGAGAACAGAGTCCTATACCCCTCACGTGACATGCCGGTGTCCAGCCCTCATGTGACACCGTGAGGAGTGTCCCATGGCCCCTCATGTGACCTGGTGAGGCCAGTGTCCTGTAGTCTTCGTGGGGAGAGGGCGTGGTCCTAACAAAGCACCATCCCTCTACCATGATTCGACCATGATTCTTCCTGACAGGGACTCACTGAGCTTTGGGGTCTCAGTCACCCCACACCCCAAGGCTTTGAGTGTCTGACGCCTGAAACAGCTGCACAGGCACAAGGACAAGGGCGGCCATGGCCATGGTGTCAATGACCCTCGAGCTTCTGGCGTGCAAGGATGGAGCTTGGCATCTCCCACAGGGCTCACTCGTCCGCTCGAGCGCCACCATCCCAGCCCCGTCAAAGGGTGTGGCGACACAGGGGCACCCAGGGGACACATGGGCTGGGGGCCAGGCAGAAGCAACCAGTGATTCCTCTGAGCCTCACAACATCCTGTCCTGCTGCCCCCCGCCCCGGGGCACGCCTCCAAGTGTTGCCCACAGCACCTGCACCCCCATGGCTCTGTGCTGCCCCTCTGCACCACCCCTCCTCGCTCCCAACACACTTCCTGTCTTCCACTCTTTCCATCTTCCAGTCTTCCTCTCATGCTTCCCTTCCTATCTCTCACCCTTCCAGTCTCCCACCACACTTCCTACCTTCCATACTTCCTATCTCCCACATTTCCTGTCTCCCACACTTCCTGTCTCCCCCTGAGAGGCAAAAAGTAACTCCACCTTGAAATATGATGGTCCCTTCTGACCACCCACAAACTAACGGAGGAGGAAGAACGGGCCAGACCCAAGGCCAGACTCAAGGCCACGATTGGTGCATGACTACAGATGTTTGGCCGAGTCAGGACGTGCTAATCCCCCGATCCCTCGATTTTGAACGCAGATATCTGCTTTGCTCTAGGTAAGATGGGAATGTGACGCCACGCGAAGGGACAGGATGCATTCTGTCTCGTAACCTAAGAAAAGAGGAAATCGTGCCTGCTACCCAGGTGCTGGAGGTCCCACGTCTCTCAGGCTTGGGAACCCTCAAGCACTGGGTCCCTTTGTAGGAGTGTGTTTGGTTGGGTGGGAAAAACCTTAAGAAATCTATCTTGTCTCTGCCAGTCATTGGCTGAGCGTGGGCTTGTGAACGATTAACATCACCACGCTTCCGGTCTCTCACCACACTTCCGGCTCTGAGCACTCTTCCTGTCTCCCATACTTCCTCTCACACTTCCGGTCTCTCACCACACTTCCTGTCTCTCACCACATTTGTCTCTTACCACTCTGCCTCCCACTGATTTCTAACTCTGCTCTTTCCCCCGCCCTGGCCATCTCTCCCCCTCCCGCTCCTCACCTACTTCAGCTTGCTCTTTTCCTCCGTCAAGTCACGTTTCTGCAACTTCACACCAGACTCAGTTCACACACTCCTGTTATTTCTCACGCCCCTTCTGATCCAGTCACTTCCTTTCTCTTTTAAGACGCCCTGATTTACATCAGCACTTACATTATGAATATTTTAGGAATACAAGGGCACAGCACCACACCTGCCAGAACGTCGGCATTCCTCTACCACTGTCTCTTTTCATCACCCCCGCAAGCACTCAGCTGACCCAGGGTCTGCTATGAATGGCCGCTGCTGCTCCTTCCTCTGCCCGTCCCCCACGTGTGCGTGCGATGAGGTGCTACTTATCCTTCTCCCTCTGAGTCCCTGCTCAGCCTGACATCCTCCAGTTCCAGCCTAGCTGCAGCAAACTGCAAGATTTCCTCTTTTCTTTCTTCTGCTCGTGGGCCACACCCAAGGGTGCTGAGGGTCTATTCCTCTGTGCTCAGGACTGACCCCTGGTACTGACCATCTGTGGCGCCAGGCATCAAACTGGCATCGGCTGCATTGGAAGAGGCAGGCACCCTGCACTGTCCCTCCAAGCCCAGTCACTCAACCCTGACACGACCCTGCTGGGATAGTAAAACCTCTGCGGTTGAAGACAGTCGAAGACAAATACGGCGCAGCACACATTCGAAGACAATGCAGCCATGAACGGGTGCAGCTCAGGGGCAGAGCACCTGTCTGTCTGTCTCAGAGGCCTGGGGAAAATCCCAGATCCCGCCCAGGCATCCCGGGAGGAACCCCCAAACACCAAGCCAAAAGTCCCCGAGCACAGCTGGGTGTGTGAAAAAGAAGGCAGCGACGTGGGCCCATGCAGACCTCCGGCATTCAGGGCTCTGCCTGTGCCTGCCACCACGCTGGCACCAGCCGATCATCTGGGACCCCAGCCCGCAGGACTGACCCTGGGCATCAGTGGGGGGGAGGGCGGGGGGGCAGGGCGAGCCCCAGGTCAGTGCCAAGCACACTCAGCCCTTCAGAGCCGCGTGTCTCCGAGGACTCTGGAAGAGGAAGTGGCCGGGGACAGCCAGGGAAAAGCCCGGGTTCTGCTGGCCTGAGCATGCACTCGAGTTCCCCATCTTCGCCTCCTCATGCTGGAGCCTCGCACCCACAGTCACCACGACGTGTGGCAGGCGCAGGCCCCCTCAGCCCCAACCTGACCAGGGCAGCTCCGAGCTGACAGGCACACGCTAGAGCCCGAGAGAGGAGGGCGACGCGCACGGGCAGAGGAACCCGCCCCGGGGTCCGACGGGGGAGCGGAGAGGCGAGCGTTGGGGGGTCCGCCCGCGGCCCGCTCACCTTCACCTCCTTCTCGATGTAGTCGCTCAGCAGCCGGTCGGGCTCCACGCGCTCCGGCAGGGTCAGCACCACCGTGTGCAGGGGCCGCCGCTCCGTCACCTTCTCGTGCGCCTTCTTGTCCCGGCTCCTCTCGCCTTTGAGGAACACGCGTTTGAACGGCGACACGATGCCAGGCTGCGGGCAGAAAGGGGCGAGGGAGGGTTGGAGCCGGTCGCCGGCGAGGCTTCACGCAGACTCGCCCGCGCCCGCCCGGCACTTCTGGGACCACAGGTTCGAGGCCAGGCCCGTGGGCGGCACTACCAGGGGCTCGGACACCCCGGCTCGGTGTCCAGGTCTGTCGGACACCGCAGGGCATGTCTCTTCGCGCCTGCAGGACCGTGTCCAGAAGCCAGGGTCAAGCGCAGTGGGGGGGGGGACCCTGGCGGTTGGCGAGGGCCTGGGGCAGGGGAGCTCAGAAGAGCCCCAGAAGGGCCCGGAGGTCCACCCCGTGCTGGGGGAGATGCCCCCAGGCATCCAGACAGGGGCCACTGGCTGCTGTGCTCGTGGGACGCGTGCCCCACCCCCACCCCCCGGGAAGCTGGCAGGAAGAACAGGAGCCCAAATGAGAGCACTCGCCGAGGTGAGGTGGAAGCGGGCTGCTACTGCGAGCAGCACCTGCCGCTGTGCCTGGCTCGGGGCCTGCGGCACAGGCTGGACCGGGGACCCTGCGCCAGAGACGCCAGGACACACGCACCAGCCCTGCACGCTCTAGGGAACCACCACCTGCTGAGCCCCACCCGGCGCCTGGGGCCCACTACCACACACGGAGGAGGACAGGGACGTCTGCACGCCCCAACGCCCAGGAGGCCGCGGTGTCCCCGCCCCCGCCCTGTTCCTGTGCCCCTCCTCCAGTCAGAGCCTGGACCCCTCGCCGAGACCCGAATCCCTGGATACACATGAGCCTCTTATCCCACTGACCCACTGCAACCGCTCACAAGACAGACTCACCGAGTGAAAGCGACACAGCAGGAGAGACAGTACAGGAAGGTGCTCGCCGTGTGTGCCCGGCACCCAGATGGTCCCCCCGAACCCAGAGCCATGAGTAAGCCCTGAGCACCGCTGGGTGTGGCCCACATACCGAAAGACAAAACAAAACCATGCAGCAAAAGTCGTCATTTTCACAATGGACACTGTCCAAAGACCACACCATCCCTGCCGCTCGCCCCTAGGAGTCCAGGGGGGTGAGGGTCCACTTTCCTGGAAATCAAGAGACCCTCGGCCGCCACCTCACGCTCCCCACTCCTGTGTCCTGTGTCCTGATGGGGGGGTCACACCGGCAGCTGAGGCTCCACCCTCTGGACCGGGGGAAATTTCCCCAAAGGCCGTCCTGAGCATCCACAGACCACCGTGAAGCTCTGACATCGCGGATTCTATGAGCGAGCGAATGAACACGTCAACTCTAGCGAGGAGACTTTCGTGGAACACATGGACCCACCATCAGAGATGACACAAGGAGGTCCCTCCACGCTTCTCTGAGACGGGACAGCAGGCGGCACCGGACACCCGCTCCAGCCCCTAGCTGCCAGGTCCCTCTCTCATGGGCTGGGCCTTTCCTCCCCAGCCACAACAGAGGCCGCAGGTCTCAGGTGCGTGATGTGGAGTGGAGGTCCGCTCCCGGGTCTGCTTTGCTCTTCTTTAAACGTGGTTTTGGGACTGCACAGCGGGGAGGGCACTTGCCTAGCACGTGGCTGACCTGGGTCCGATCCCCAGCACCCCATATGGTCCCCCAAGCCCACCAGAATGATCCCGAAGTGCAGTCAGGAACCAACCCTGACCACTGCTGGATGGTCCTCCGCCGGGAGGACAGTTCCTGCTCCACATCCTCTCCCAGTGGGCCAAAGGGCAGGGCCAGCTGCAGACACGGCCTGGCCCCGCCCCCACAGCCCCCCAGAGACTCAGGTCAGGCTCAGGTCTGGAGCAGCGGGCGGGGCGGTAGCCCCGGGACAGGGACACTGGGCCGGGCCCAGCCGTGAGACCAGCCAGAGGTCGGCATCAGGCCCTCCTGCCTGGCAACCCCACAAAGGTCACGTCGCTGAAGCACAGCCAGTGGGATCCCAGTTGGGGAGGGTTCTGGAAGTGCCTGTCACCTGGCACTCCCTGAGGGGCACAGGAGACCGGCCATAGGCAGCCGTGCACCGTGCCAGGATGCAGGACACAGTGAAAGGCTGACCCAAGCCCTACAGCCTGCCCAGAGCGAGACCCTCTGCAGCCCTGACGGGTACCTGGGCCTTGCAGGAGGGAGCCCCCGCCCCGTCCCGCCCTGCCACCCCGCCCCGTCCCCAGGCACTGCCAGGAGAGGAGTCGATGGGCAGCTGGTGCCCACAGCACTCACGGCCAGCAAAAGAGACCCGATTCCTCAGGGCAGATTCAGCGGGAGGAGCAAGTTCACAAACAAACCTGGAAGGGCGGCAGGGCAGGGCAGCAGGACACCGGCCAGGTGAGCACACGTGACTCAGGCGAGAGAGTCAGGCACCCCAAGCCCACCCCCCACGCAGGGTTTGGCCCGGGTGCTCGTGGATGCCGCGTTCCCCTGCACAGAGCCGTCCTAGGCTCCGTGCCCCGCGCCAGGAAGGGGCTCTGCGCTCGCCAGGGCACATGGTGGCAAGTCTTCCCAGAGGCAAAGGTTGCAAGCAGGGCAGAGGGGTGAAGACGGGGACCGGAGGGTGGGTCTGGAGCCTCTCGGCCCTTCCAGAACAGTCTAACAAGCACCCGTGGAGCTGGGGGACGAACGCTGTGTTTGTGTGTGCTCAGGGTGCCAGGCGGTGCTGGAAGGGGAGCCGGGACCCCTGCCCCCCATGCTCCTGGGGCTACCTCTGAGCATGGAAACGGAGGGCGGGGGGGGTAGAGACAGTGCAGAGGGACGCTGCTGCCCAGGAGGGTCCCCGAGCACAGAGTCAGGAGCCCTGAGCACTGCTGGCAGTGGCCCCCAAGCCACAACAAATCGAAGCGGAGAAATAATGAAAGACACTTTGGCACACAGACGAAGTGAATGCCGGAAAGTTCTCCAGATCAATAAGCAGGTTTTCAGGAGGGGCGAGGAGCGTAAGCTTTTGGGGACACACCCGGCAATGCTCAGGGTTCCTCCTGACTCTGCTCTTGGACCATTAAACAAAGCTCGAGGGATGAACGCCTGGCAGTGCTCAGGGGCCAGCCACAGACCAGGCAAGCCCCTCCCCACGGTACTATCGCTCCAGCCCTTGTGCAGTTTTAAGTAGTGGTTTCAGTGCCTGAATCGCACACTCTTAGTTCAACAGCATTTTCCTCAGTCACTGGCGTCTGTCATCCCCTTAGAATCTCAGTCCACGGAGGAGCAGCCTGGCACTCAGCGAGCTCACATCTGTGGCAGAGCCTCAGCGTCTCTGCGGGCGCGGTGCCAAGTTCTCAGCAAACCCTCCTGGCCCCAAGGTCTCCAGGACCCAGCCCTGGTGCGGGCGCTACGCCTGGCCAGTCCCTCTCAGGCCCCAACAGCGCTCCCTGGCCTGGACCCGACCTGGTCCCCTTCTGGCCTGCACTCCTTGGGTGGTACCCTTGTCCTACTATTGGCCCCAGGCCTGTGCCACGCCCGCCCACGTACACAATTTCACCTCTTGGCCCCTTGGAAAGCCGCAGGGCCCACACGGCCTCCGGCTGAGTAATGTTGCCCTAGATCCTTACAGCATTTTCCATCTTACGTTCTAAACGACTTGTTCAAAATGCACTGAAGAAGCACAGCCCACACCTGCCACTCAGCACGGTCTGCTGGAAGACTCTCCACATGCGAAGCTCAAGCCCACTCAGCGCACCGGGCATAACGGGGCTACTGAACTGAGGTCACTGCACCCCCAGAGCATCGGACTTTCAGCTCGGTCAGGGGCTACGGCCGCGCCAGGTAGCACAGCTCTATGGGCGCACACGGCCAGGCCAGCACGGGGCAGCGCTATCATCAAGAACAGGGAGACTGGCACCGGGTACCGGAGGGTTCTGTGACAGTGTCCAGCCCTCTCTCTGGGGCCTGAATCTTACAGGACACTGCAAGACAGGTTTGATTTCACCGATCACATAAAACTGCCTCAAACACTTTTCCATGTGCAAAGTTTTTTTTGTGTGTGTGTGCAAAGATTTTTTTTATTAAACATTTCCCTGGTCTCCGTAGGTCCAGTACTCAGCGGCATCTGATGGGCAATCAGCAGCTGTCCAGATGGAGGAACGGAGCCTCTGTTTCACCCTGTGGCCATGGCCGAGGCTGCCCACTCAGGGACCCCGCTCAGGAAAGCGGCAATTGTAAGTAGCCAGCAGCTGGGCTCTACGGACACTCCTGCCAGCCTGTGGTTCCACGTAGTGGGATGCTAGGAGCCCATTTCTCCCAGTGCAGCCCTGGACTGGGCCCCTCTTCATTCCAGCTAACACCCAGAAACCAAACTGGCAGAAAAATGTAGGCGGGAGCGATAGCACAGTGGCAGGGCGTTTGCCTTGCATGCAGCCAGCCCGGCTGAGCTGGGTTCGATTCCTCCGCCCCTCTCGGAGAGCCCGGCAAGCTACCGAGAGAGCATCTCGCCCACACGGCAGAGCCTGGCAAGCTCCCCGTGACGTATTCGATATGCCAAACACAGTAACAACAAGTCTCACAATGGAGACGTTACTGGGCCCGCTCGAGCAAATCGATGAACAACGGGAGGACAGTGCAGTGTTTACCTTGCTTAGGTGCTACAGAGGCCAAAACGTAAGTACCCACTGGACTCCGGGCCCTCTACACAGCCCAGGTTTGCACTCTGGACACGGCGTGAACTGGACATGGGGGTGCTGGCACCCTCCCCCTCTTTCCTCCCCCCTTCTTGTTTTGGGGCCACACCCAGCAGTGCTCAGAGTCACTTCTGAGCACTCAGGGGTTTCTCCTGGTGGGCTCTGGGGGTGGGGGGCTGCCAGGGCTGAGCCTGGGCCGGCGGCTGTGCTAATGCTATGTCCTGACCTTGGCCCGAGGCCCCCTTCCCGTTCAGATTTGCACGCGGCTGACTTCAAAGCCCCTGAGGATGACCTTCCCCTGGCACCCAGGTGGCTACCCTGGGCTAAGCCGGGCAAGAACAACCCATCGGGCTGAGCTCAGTCTGACACCATCCACCAGGTGCCACCTGCACCCACCCTGGACCCACCTGGGCAGA